AAAAAAAAAGCTAAGGTGAAACATAATGACTATAAATAAAAAAAATAAAAAATATATATATATATAAAGTATCTAAAACGTGGGACATGAAGAACTAATATTACCTAACCCTTCAAAGGAATTGAAGCAAGGATTCTATCAAAAGTATTGTCTATCAGTTGTGAATAGAAGAAGATAATCCCATCCATTTCATATTCCATTGTGCAAGAATATGCAACAAAGTTTTCATTTAATTGTTCTAGCTAATCAAATTTGGCTCAATTCAATACGGCCCATTTTTTCAATTCTCATTCTTTCCTTGAAATTACCCTTTCTGAACTTCATAAAAGCACATTTAGGGTTTCTTCTCCAGATATTTGATATCTTTCACTTCGAATAAGATCTCAATTCTAGCGACGATTTCTACATGAGCTGATTTGATCAAGCACTCGTCATCTATTTTCATTGTTCAAATGTTTGACAACACGAAAAATCATTGTTCAACTCTTTGACAACATGAAAAAAACCAAAAGCTAACACTTCGCGTGCACGGAGGCACACCGTGCGCAGCGTGTGTGATGCCTCCGTCCACTTGGATGGAGGTTCTTAAGTTCTCTTAATTTGGAAGATTAAAAAGATAATATTTCTATTAAGAGATTTAAGATGATGCTGAGAATCAAGAGAGTTCCAACTGTTGTTTCTATTTACCAAAAGGAAGAGGCAGAGGAAGGCGGCTGTGGCAGAAATTATGCCTCCGTCCACTTGGACATGCCTCCATCCAAGTGGATGGAGGCATGAGGTGCCTCCGTCCACGAGAATCAGGTTCTTCTTCACTCGATAAAAGGACTATCCGCAGAGAGAGATAGACGATGCACGGATTTCACAAGAAAAGCTAACACGGGAGATTAATGTGAGAGAGAGAGGTCAAAAATATTTAAAATTCTTGGAAAATAGATCACAAGATATCATTCAAAATACTCAAAAAAGGAAAAATCTTTCTTGCTGATCTGCATTTAATGACATACTTTAAAAACAATTCTAAATACCCATTTTTCAGTGAAAACGGAAAGAAAGACCTGAAATTTATTTGCTCTATTCTACTGCCTTCAACACAGTTAATCAGTTGCAACTGAACTTAGCCATGCAAAAAACCAACAAAAAATCCTATTAAAGCTTTTAGTAGCAAGATAATTGAGGATTAAATTTAAAAACACTTTCTGGCCTATTATTATGTAATGAATCAAGCAGCACCGTCCCCTACGCATTTAGATGAAAACAAAATTCAAGCAAGAAAATTTTAACCGAAAAACATTTTCTGTCCTATTACTCTTCTGGCATTGCTTGAAACAGAATGCAAGACACCTATACAGGAAACAGATGACTGTCTAGAAATGAACAAGAGACAAGCTTTAACTGAAAAGAAAACAGTATTCTGTAAAGTTAACAAATATTTGACACTGAAATTGAATGCAAAGCTATGCTCATTAATTTAAATCTTAGGGTACCAACAAAAACAAAACCTAAATCAGATGGCAAGTGCCCAAATAATACACAACTTTTCCACTTATTGGCTAGAATAAATATATGTAAATTTTAGATAAATTCATTTGTAAACATGAAAGATATTCAGCAGGTAAAAAAAAAATTTGTCAGGATTGAGCAATGCGGTTTGCAGGCTTTTAACTGGTTAAGAGAAAAGGAAAAAATGTTATTAAAAAAAAAAATCGCTTACACGGGCGGGGACACCTCAGAAGACATCGTCGTGCCTCCATCCAAGTGGATGGAGGCATGGTGCTTGAATGGAGGCAAACCATGCCTCCATTACTTGGATGGATGCCTCCATCCACACTCTCCAAGTGTGGACGGAGGCACCATGCCTCCGTCCACTTGGACATGCCTCTGTCCGAGTGGATGGAGGCATGAGGTGCCTCCATTACTTGGACGGAGGCATGGTGCCTAGGCATCATGCCTCTGTCCACGAGAATCAGGTTCTTCTTCACTCGATAAAAGGACTATTCGTAGAAAGAGATAGACGATGCACGGATTTCACAAGAAAAGCTAACATGGGAGATTAATGTGAGAGAGAGAAAGGTCAAAAATATTTAAAATTCTTGGAAAATAGATCACAAGATATCATTCAAAATACTCAAAAAAAGAAAAATCTTTCTTGCTGATCTGCATTTAATGACATACTTATAAAACAATTCTAAATACCCATTTTTCAGTGAAATCTAAAACGAGAAAAGTATCTGACTTTAACCAAAAGAGCTCAAAAAACACATAATTGATAATTGATGAAAAAACTCATATACCGATACGAAAAATCAAAGTTTCAGATTACCTTTATTTCTTCACCACAGAAATCAAAAACACGATGATCAATTTTAAAAAAATCCAAGGTAGTTTTGCCCAAAACCCCGCTATTTCCGCATCAAGCAAAGCCATATTATAAAAAATCTCAATACCATGTAGCCTACAATAATCAATTTTATTCTTTATAGATTTCAACAAGTAATGATCCCCCACAAGATTCTCACATGGCTTCGAGGATGACCCAGTAACTAACAACACTCTAGGCTTATTAGGAGCAATAAAATTCAGGAAATTTGGGTTGTTTTTCAACCACTCACCTCTTTGCTGATCCCAATCTGAAATCTTTGGACCGAGGCTGTACGGCTGCGAAGGATCGCTCTTAAATTCTTCAATCCCATCATCTTCATCCTTCAAGATCTTTCTTATATCAAATTCTGCATAATTGTTACTCCCATTTTCTCTACTATCACTTGTCGTACTGGATTTTTGAACAGTCTCCGCCTCTTCTAGCACGCGGCGGGGTTCCGACCGGCAACGGATGTAAGAAAACGTTTCCCGGATCTCGTCAAGGTCCTTTTCCGGCGTACCAAATTTTCCGACTCCCAGATTTCCGCGCAAAACAATTACTGTAAGGAAAAGGCAAAGAAGTGTAAGCGTCCCATTGCGTATAGCCTCTGAAATTGCCCCACACGTCGGGGGCTGAGGCCCCGATCTAGCATAATGGGCGTCTAGCTAAAAACCGGATTCGTGGCGGCGAATAAATAGCTGGATATCAAG